ATTGGAATAAATATATGTAACAGATCAATCAACCTCCAGACACAGAGTTAATAAGCCTGTGTCATTTTTATACCAGATATAAATAATAAGGTGAGGGGGAGGTTGGGGTGGGAAGTAATCCATGGACTTTGGTTGCTAATACTGCTTTTCAAAGCAGTCCTGCAGTCCCAGCCATACAAACCAGAACACAGCCAGGGGAGATCTCCCAGACTGCAGCAATCTGGAGCAGGCCAGGATGCAAAGGATGTTGGATCCAGTAATGCTTAATGAAATTGGAAACACAGACAGGGACTAACATACCAAAATTCTCTGGGAAACATACTCATTAACTCATAGTTAATCAGTCATCTCTGAATTGTCATTTACAGTCTTTGTAAGGTAAGAAAAAAACAAGTTATACAGCAAAGGAGCTCAGAACTCAACAGGGAGAAAGCAGAGGCAGGCTCTCAGGAAGTCTTTGTGGCTGCTAAGACTTATTTTTCAACTGTGTACCCTCACAGGTGGGCCTGTTTCAGTTATGCACATCAAAACACAAGGACTTATCAGCAGGAAACAAGTTTATATGGATTTTCAGGCTACCTCTTCGTAATCAAGAGCAGGCTGTGAAGGAAACACCTGTGAGGGCAACACCAGTGCTTCACACCAAGTGCTTACCAATGAAGGGATCGATGACATGACGCTTTTTCACCTTGGTTTCTGTGATGGCAGCATAATAGGCACAAGTCATTTTGATAAGCCACGCTGCTCTCATTACTGGGACGGTGTATTTTGCCAAATAACCAAAGACCTCTTCCTTCTTGCTAAAGATGGGCACCTGTAACAGAATTGAGAGGGAGGAATGAGCCAAGAACTTGGATGGGAACTATTCCAAAGCAGCTACATCTGCTGCAGGTGCTGCAAGCTGAGAAGAAGGTAAAAAGAGAAGAGGCACTGGGTTGTTCTGTATCTCGAAAAGCCCACTGCAAGAATTCACCTCTGGTCAGAAAGCAGCAGTACCAGAGCTGCATTTCAGCATAAACAGAAACAAAACAAACTGAAAGAAAGGAGAAAACATAACTACATCACCGTAAATCCATGCCCTGAATGCTGCAAATATCTTGGAGGCCATCCTCCAGAGAGCATCTAAACAACTACAAAAGATGCAAAGGACTGAGTCAGAAACAGAGTATCTGCTGTACAGACTGAACACAGGACTCTTCACTTTGTAACCACGGTGGTTACAAAAGTTTTGTAATATCAGGAATACCCAACAGGAGACTGTGAGAAACAGGGAAATTGAGTACCAAAGTAGGAAGGAATTCATCAATCCAAGATTCAAAAATCAAGATCCAATACAGGAGGATACCAGTGAAATCATCAGAGTGCAGACCTGTAAACCAGGAAGCAACACCACACCACAGGAAAAAGTACAGCTGTGGGGCTCATTTCCACACAATACTCTGGAGAGCATAAATGAGCAATGAAACAAATCCACAAAGAACAGGCCCATCTGGTAGATCCCTCTAAGTCCCTGAACTACTGACAATTCAATCATTTACCCGCTATGCTTCTCACATTCTTCCCAATTACTCTGATTCCTCCAAGACACAACAGCACAGACTACCTGGCCACTGACAGGCACTGCTTTCACGTCTAAATCCATGGAAACTGGTGGAGCCCATTACAGGAAAACTGGGGAAAGCCCTGAAAGGTTCAGGCTTTCACAATGACCTCAGGAAAGTGGCAGGAAACAGCCAAAGAAAAGACACAAGGACCAAGTTTATAAAGAGATTGTGAGAAAGTCTGATTACTTTATTTCCCCCCAAGAATGACTCAGAACCCCAAGGAACAGACAAATTCCAGCTTCTAAACCCCATGCTCCGCTACCATTTCACAACTGGCAGTTCTGTTTTTCCACAAGGCATACCAGATTCCCAAATTCCTTGTTCATTGACCTCCCCTGAGAGAGAGCTCTCTCCCCTTGCTGTCGTGCCTGATAAAATGCAGGGAGACCCTCCTTTCATACTCTACAGAATTCAAGGCTACAAGGGAAATATCTACCCCTAGAGCCCAGGGCACAGAAATGCTGCAGCCTGGCAGAGACCAAGTGATAGCACACATACCCTCCTCAGCTTAAAACCAGAAATATGTCACTGCAACAGAACTCTGGGAAATCACTTAGCTGATTATTTTCAGTAATTCTAACTATGGCTTTTGACAACCTGAGAAACACCCCACAACAGAAATGTCCTAATCTAAACAACAGACCAAAGCCAACAGTGGCAGCTCTTCTGAAACACGTCTGAACCTTCAAATAAATCAGCCGTGTCCTACAAGCCAAAAGGCAAAGCTGGACACACCTCCAAACAACAAGCCGAGGGACCAGTTCTCTGAGGGGGGAGAAAGCAAAGGCAGGGCTCTACAAGTCCCAGATCCACTCCACAAGTCAGGGCTCTACAAGTCCCAGATCCACTCTTCGAGCCGAAAGCTACACGAGATGTACAGAGAAGAAACTTCTCCAAACAGTAAAAACCTCCTGAAACACTTCAGAAACAAGCCCAGATTAAATTCTCTGCCCTGCCAGGCCGCCTCTCCTGTACCATACCTTCTTAGCAAGATGAGTGAGGGGCTTGGTTCCAGCCAGGTCTGTGAACCAGTTGTTTATGGCACTCTGAGAACGCGCTGTCACCAGCCAAAAGTTATCCTTCTGGTTCACCTGGGGCTTCCTCCTCCCCGTGTCAGGCAGGGTGTTGCACCGCAGCTTCTCCGCAATAATACTGCTGAAATTCGAGCTGATCTGCAAGGGAAAGAAAAGGACTCATTACATTTCGCTTAAAATCTTATTTATCGCTCCTACCAGAAGTATCGGCTTTTGGAAACACAGACACAAAAAAACACCTGCCAGTAATTTCCTTTGTTCTGCTTGCAGAGATGAATGCTCCCAGACAACTCCTACAATAACCAAGCAGGGACTGCAGATGGACACAGCACTTCATAAATACCTATCAAACCAGACAGGAGGCGCTTCTCAGACAGAAGCCAGCCAAGAAAAACAAATATCCTGTGCTCATTGATTGCCTTCCAACTCAGGTCATTACCAGCCCTTCTGTCGGGGAGGCCAGGAAGTCAACATCTTGATTTCAGAGATTGGAAAAATGGACTTGAAGCCTCTTATGTAATTCCCCTGTTTAAACTGCCAGATGTTTCAAGAAATCTTACTTCTCTTTTACCGTGACCATGATGTAACCAAACCAGTAAGAACTTTTCCTCTCCTGGGATTGCAGCCTTCTGCTTTAACTGCAGAACACGGGGAGTCCCAGATGCTGGTTTCACTGAGACTGCAGACACAGACCTGCCCCTACGATGTACAGAGCAAGGCAGGAACTCTCTTGCAGAGGTTGGACACAGTTCTAAAAGAATGCAGAACTTGGATTGCAAAGGAAGGGAGGGTCAGGTCCTAAAACCACCCATCCTAAAGGAAAAGGTCTCCTGGTTCTCTCGACACAGAGGAAGGACTAAGACCCAGGGCTGCCCAGGACCCCGCAGCCCACGCTGCTAAACGCCCCGTCTCACCTTCGCCGGGTTGAAATTGACATTTTTGGCACTGCCGTGCTCGTCCCCGGAGACCGCCGGCTGGTTATTGAAGCCTTGCTTGACATTCAGCGCAGTCAGCTCATCCTGCGGGGGGGAAGGACGGTCAGAGGGGCCCGGCGCGGCCCCTCCGTGCTCACCGCCAGAGCGGGGGCCGAGCGAGGCCAGGCCCGGCTGCTCCCCCAGCCCCCGCCGCCCTGCCCCGCCCAGGGGACAGCGGCCCCGCAGCCCCTCCGGCCCGCCCAGCGCCCCCCAACACGCGGGCCCGGCGGGACGGGCCCCGCTCCCGACCCCCGCCCCGCCGCCTCCACAGGTCCGGCCGCGGCGCGGCTGTCCCGCGTCCCCCCCAAGGCCCCCGCACCTCCTTCTGCTTGGGGTCCTGCGGGTACACGTCGGGCGGGCCGAGGCGCGGGCGCTTCAGCGGGCGGTGCTCGTAGCTGAGGACGCCGAAGGCCGCCATGGCCGGGCCACAACAGCGGCCGCCGGGGCCGCCCGCGCCTGCGCGCTGCGCGCTGCGCCGGGCACGGCGGGGACCGCCGGAACGGCCCGAGAGCCGCCGGAGCCGCGCGAGGGAGCACGGGCAGGCCCGAACGCAGACGGAGAGACACGAGTGTTGCCGGAAAGATGCGAAGCTGGGCCGTGGGAGGACGGACAGTCCCGAGTATTACCGGAGAGAACCGAGTGCCGCCGACGCCTGGTCGAGTAAAGACGAAAAGGACCGAGCACAGGCGGAGAGACCCGAAGAGAGGCCGAGAAAGGAAGGAGATTCCCGGGCGCTGCCGGAGAGGCCCGAAGCCGGACTCGGGGTGGACGGAGAGCCCCGAGTGGCGCCGGAAAGTGCCGAGGAGGGACGTGGCCGCCCGAGGGTCCCGTGACCAACAACATCCCCTCACCTTCCACGGCACCCCGGCCTCCCACACCCCCTGCGGCCACCGCCCCATCGTCCCCGGCGCCCCGCACACCGGTCATGTCACACATGGACACACACAGCCCCGCCGGGACTGCCCCGGTGCTGCCCAGTTCCCAGGGAGGCGGCCGGGCTATGGGTTGGGGTCCCCGCAGCAGTCCCGCTCCTGGGGACAGCCCCGCAGGGTGATCCCTGCGGCAGGGCGGGCTGAGCCACGGGCACACGGCAGGAGGAAATGGGACCAGAGGGTTGGGACTGTCTGGTTCCAGTGGGATCTGTGGGATCCCACTGGGGTGAGCTGTGAGGTCCCAGTGGGATGAACCATGGAGTTCCAGTGGGATGAGCTGTGGGGTCCCAGTGGGATGAGCTGTGGGGTCTCAGTGGGATGAGCCATGGGGCCTGCCTGCGTTGGGCTGTGGTTCTCCCCAGAGTGGCCCTGGAGCAGCACATGGGGTGGCCCCCCTGGAGCAGGCGGTGCGTGGGGCAGGAAGCAGGGGCGGAAGCCACAGGACGGCACGAGGCTGTTCGCATGCGCCCCGTGGCCAGCCCAGCCCCACCATGGCAGCTCCTGCCACCTTCCTGCTGCCTGTCCTCTTCCTCCTCCTCCTCTGCGGGCTGGGTCCCTGCCCTGCTGCTGCCCACAGCCACCCGGGTAAGGGGGCACATGGGCCCATGGGGAGGTGGGAGGCCGCAGACCCCCTGCGGGTGGGGATGGAGCCAGAGATGGCGGGCGAGGAGGGCAGGGTGTGGGGCTGTGTGGGCTGGCGCGCTGTTGGGGGTTGCACCAGAGACCCTGCGACCCCCTAAAGCCCCAGGACCCCTGGCACCTACACGGCCCCTTGCAGAGGGGCTGCCAGGAGAGACGGGCTGTGCCGGGGAGCCCCGCTGGGTGTCCTTGCTCCCACCCCAGCAATGGAGCATTGCTGACGCCACCAGCCCCGTGGCTACTAGGCCTGCAGGGCTCCTGGCCCCATTACTGGCAGGCCCATGCTATCCGTGGGTGCTGGCCAGGCCGCTGGATCTGCCCCAGCTGCCCTTTCCGTCCTGGTCACATCAGCAGTGCTGTGCACAGGAAGGGGACGGGAGACAGCAGCTTCTCTTTCCACCTGGCACCCTCATCCCAGCCATTGTTTTCTGGGAGAAAGTCCACCTCTTGGCTGGCTGTCAGCAAAACAACAGCTTTCTGTGGCAACACAGCCCCTCTGTATCCCTGGGCCTGCTGGGCTGCTGGGAAGGTGCCCTTCATCTTCACGTGCGGAAACAGCCAGAGCGCAGCCTGTTTGCTGCATCCTGTATAAATACAGCTCAGAAAAGCCTGGCTCTGGCTTTCTCCTGCTCCTGCAGTTCTGGTTGATGTTTGGACCTTGGATGGGACCAGATGTCCCATTACCTGGTTTTTAGGGGGAAAAACCTCTCATTTTCTGTGAGCAGCTGGGCTGGCACTTGGGAGAGCTCTGTGATGAGGTGTCTCAGTCCATCAGAGCAGCTCGTCCCCCAGCGAGCTGTACCTCTGAGCACCAGAGCTGTGGTGTCACAACTGATGGGACCAGCCCTGCTGCTGTGCCCCTGCAGCCTCCTGCCAGCCCAGGATGTGGCTACATGGGTAGGAACCAGGGCTGGGGCAGAGGAGCCAGCACGAGTTTCCTGCAGAGATGGAGCCTCGGGGGCTCAGCCTGGGGCGGAGGGGCTGTGGTGGGAAGCAGCCCAGCCCAGCCTTCATCACCCAGACACAGAGACACATCAGCAAGAAGGGTAACAGGGAGATGAATTTAGCCAGGATGGAGACACCAGGAGCAAATACTGAAAAAAAACCAAACAAAACCAACTCTGATTTTCTCACAGGACAAACAAAAACGGGTTGACAGAGAAGGATTTGTATCCTGTCCCACCAAAGAGCTGCAAACAGCAGTTGTGGGGTGACTAAGGGGAGTAGATGGAGGAGTCAGGGTGAAACACCATATCCACAGCATGAAAAGCCAACAGCACAGATGTGGGAGAGACAGCAGTCCTTTAGAGGACGATGTGGGGCTGCTGGCAGCCCGGGCATCACCAACACAGCTATGTCAGAAAGAGATGGGCTTGTTTGGCTCAGATGGAGAAAGGCTCATGGGGATATGCAGGGACCTTGGCGTGTGCCGTGTGTCCCTGGTGCACCTCTGAGCCCTGGCACAGCCTCCCACCACCACCACGATGCCCAGCAGTGTCTGTCGCTTGCAGAGGTGGAGTGTGTCCTCTTCAACGAGGAGTACATGACCTGCACGTGGGGGAGCAGAGCGACACTCACGGCCAACTACTCCCTCTACTACTGGTAGGTGTCCCTGCTCCACAGCCCTGTGCCCAGCAGTGGGGCCCTGGGGGAGCTACTGCCAGCATTGCTGGTCCCATCAGGCTGCTCCTCCTCCATGAGCCCAGAGTGGGGCAGGCTCTGTGTCCAGGGCAAGCAGGATGGGATGTGCTGAGGAGAGGGGTCCCCAGGAGGGCTGGGGCATGTGAGGCCTTGGGGAGCCCCGGTAACTCCCTGTGGCACAGGTACAGGAACACATCCAACAAGGTGGAGTGCAAGCATTACCTGCAGGACCAGGGCGTCAGGGTCGGCTGCCACTTCAAACAGAACGAGATTATCCAGTTCCAGCCTTTCCATGTCCTTCTCAAAGCCAGCATGGGCGGCAGGACCCTGAACATCACCAGCAAGCGCATGGAGCTGCAGGACCTGGGTACAGAGTGGTGGGGGGCACTCCCTCTCTTCTGCAAGGCTGTGGGTCCCCCAGGGCTGGCCCATCAGGTCCCAGCTGGCAGCAGGGCCACGGGGACGTGGGGCCAGCACTCACCGGGTGTCGCCTGTGCCTTGCAGTGAAACCAGAGGCGCCCGTCAACCTGACCATCCACAACATGAGCAACAATCAGCTGCAGCTGACCTGGGCCACCACATACCCCAAAGCCAAGTGCCTGGAGCACACCGTGAAGTACAAGAGCAACAAGGACACCGACTGGACGGTGAGAGGCCCTGGGCACGGCACCCTCGTGGCTGTGCCCGGGAGGAGCTGTGCACCAGCCCCCATGGCAGTCCCAGCCCACAGCCACGCCTCATGTCTCTGCAGGAGCTCTCGGTGAATGGAGATGTCTTCTCCTTACCCAGCGTGGACTACAAGAAGTTCTACACCTTCTACGTGCGCAGCAAGATCAACAAATACTGCGGCAGCACCCAGCTCTGGAGCGAGTGGAGCGTTCCCGTGGTCTGGGGCAGCAACTCCACCAGCAAGGGTAGGCCCTGGGGGCTGCAGTGGGATGGGATGGACTGGAGCATGGCAGGGCTCAGCAGGTGAGGGATGGCCAAGCAAGTAGAGAACTGGCCTGAGGCAGCAGCTGTAGAGGCAAAACCTGTCCGGGCACCTGGAGTGCAGGCAGCAGCATCGGCCCCTGCTGCTTTGTACTTCTAGAAGCCAAACACACCCCAGCAGTGGGACCTGCTGACTTTTGCCAGGGGTTTCTTAGCACTGGAGGGCTGCCCTGGCACTGCTGGGCCAGGGCAGGGTCACCAGCCATTTGTGGTGGTAGCGTGGCAGGGCTCGGAGATGGGCTCCTTCTCCATCCTCTGCTCCCAGAACAATGCCATGGCCACTCAGTGCCATGGTGGTGTGCTGTCTGGGGGTCAGTGTCACCTTGCTTCTTTCCAGGCACAGTGCACTGGTTCTGGATCCACACGGTCTTGATCCCCATTGCCTCCTGCCTGACCTTGCTGGTCCTTCTCATCCTGCTGGTGCGCATGGAAAGGTGAGTGTGGGGGGCTGATGAGGGGGCAGCAGCACTGAGGCTCTTGCCCTCTGACAAACCTCTCCCACACAGGATATGGGTCATCCTAATGCCCCGAATTCCCAACCCCAGCAAGAATTTCGATGAGCTCTTCATCACCCACAATGGCAACTTCCAGGTGAGGTGGATGCAAGTGGCCCTGTGTCCTGGGTCTGTCCCGCACTGTGGGGTTGGGGCTGGGCTGGGTGGTCGCTCCTCTCACCCTGCTCTGCTCCCTGCAGGAATGGGCTGGAGTCCCCAAAGACGTCGTGGAGAGCTTCAAGCCCAACTACAGCGAGCACATCTGCTATGTGAGCGAGCTGCCACCCAAGGACAGCTACGAACCCCTCTGGGAGAGCAGCAACCCCCCACCATCTGCAATGCCCGGGGCCCCAGCTGCCCCCAGCGAGCACAGCCCCTACAAGAACAGCTATGGGAGAGTGTGACACACCCCTGCACCCCCCACGCTCCACAGCTTTGCTGCCCAAAACCTCCCTGCTCTGCAGGCCCTGCTCCCTGCTCCCTGCTCCTGCCATGCCTCCCACAGATGCTCCTGGTTTTGCTTCCTGCCATGGCCACACTCAGCCCCCCGTGACACAGGGGCTGCGCTGCACTGCAGCTGCTGGAGGAGCACCCTGTGCTGGGTGCCCTGGGGGCTGCACTGGGGACACTGGTGGTGCCCTGGTGCCCACAAGCCCACACCCAGGGACGTGTCCTGGCAAGCAGGCAAGGGACACTGGCAAACTGATGGGGACATGGGGGATGAGGAGTGCCAGGAGGACCGAGAGTGGAAAAATAATGGAAGACACCCGAGGAGAATTGTAAACACGCTCGAGTGACTTGCAGCTGGGTGTAGAGAAACATATATACCATACTCTTAGTTGCTTAGCCTTGTGTGTTTGGCAAGTAGAACTTCTGTGTTTAGATAACACAGGCCTGTGATAGACTTGGTGGCACCTTATTTAACATGCTTGAGATTCCTGCCCTGCTGTGGGAAAGATCAAATCACAGTGGTAAACCAGGGCTGCACAAATCCTTGATGAACAGGCAAAGACAGCAGGTTCAGCGATCCTCCAGCACGGGCCAAGCTCCACAGTACCTGCATCCCTGCTTGTCTGCCTCTGCCCGGGTGCTGCTTGGGGGATCCTCCAGTCTTCGAGGTAATGAAAATAAATTTCCTCTTTGCCTTTCATCCGTGGTTTTGTGGTTGTTCCTGCGTCCTGTTTCTGTCAGCTCAGACAGAAAGCCACTGTGTCACCCTGGGGCCCTGGGCAGGCCTGGCAGTTCCCCCAAGGCCTCGCTGCTCCTTCGCTGGTTTCCCGTGGCAATAAAGCTCTGGCCACCAGGGGCTTGTCCAGGCTTGTCACACAGGGCCTGGGGGAAGCACCAGTGAAGCCCCAACTCCTGAACACCTCTGGCCTTGCACACGCTGTGAGGCAGGAGCCAGCCCCACTGTCCCAGCCCCACTGTCCCAGCCCCACTGTCCCAGGCTTACATCAATCAACATCAAGCATGCAGATGAGTCCCCTCCCGGCTGTCTCATGGTGCTCCCTGCACACTGGGTGATGTGCTGAGGCCTCCCTGTGCAGTGGGCTTGGCTCTGGGCTCTGCAGCCACTGCCAGGGCCACCTGCTGCCCTCAGCCACTGCTGCTGTCCCTGCGGGAAACCAGAGCTTTGTGGTCAACACCGGCTGCAGCTGCTCTTACAGAATCACAGAATCAATCAGGTTGGAAAAGACCTCTGAGATCATCGAGTCCAACCTATGACCGACCACCACCACATCAGCCAAGACCACGGCACCAAGTGCAAGTGAGACATCCAGCCTTTCCTTAAACACCTCCAGGGACGGTGACTCCACCACCTCCCTGGGCAGCCCATTCCAATGCCTGACCACCCTTTCCGTGAAGAATTTCCTGCTAATGTCCAACCCAAACCTCCCGTGGTGCAGCTTAAGACCATGTCCAGTCCTTCTGTCGCTGGTTGTCCGGGGGGAGAGCCCGACCCCGCACCTGGCTACACCCTCCTGTCAGGGACTTGTAGAGAGCGATGAGGTCACCCCTGAGCCTCCAGGCTGCCCCCCCGGCCCAGGCTCTGCTCAGCAGGGCCGTGCCCCAGCGCCGTTCCCAGCGCCATTCCCGATTCCCAGCGCCGTTCCCGATTCCCAGCGCCGTTCCCAGCGCCATTCCCGATCCCGTTCCCGATCCCGATCCCGATCCCGATCGGGGGCGTGTCCCGCGCTGACAGCGGGCCCGGCCCGGCCCCGCCCCCGCGGCGCGGCGGAGGCCGCCCCCTGGCGGCGGCGATTGGCGCAGGCGGGCCCGCCCCCCGTGCCCGCCGCGGAGCCGGCGCTGCCCCGGCACCGGCACCGGCACTGCCACCGGCACCGGCAGCGCGGGCACGGCACGGCACGGGCTCACCATGATCGTGTGTCCCCAGAGCGTGGAGCACCCCCGAGGAAGCCGATGCCAGCGGCTGCCGGGGCAGGTAGGACCCGCCCCGCCGCGCCGCTGCCACCGGCAGCCCGTACCGGAGCACCGGGCTTCGCCCTGCTGGCCGCCACCGGCCCGGCACGGCTGCGGCACCGGCAGGCCGGGGCATTCCCGCTGCCCGCTGGCGGTGCGCGGGGCCGGTGGGGTGAGGCTGCGCTCTCACGGTGCCGCGGCCGGCGGGTTGCTGTTGCTGCCGGTGCCGGTGCCGGTGCCGGTACCGGTCGCGGTACCGGTGCCGGTGCGGCGGTGTCGTCCCCGTCCCCTTTGTGCGGGATGCGGGAGGCGCCGTGGCTCCATCACTGCCAATCAAACTTGTTTTTCTCTCTCCGCCTGCACTGCCCGCGCCGCCCGCCGGGGGCGCTGCCGGCGCCGCCGCCCGCACAATGGGCCCCGGTACCGGCCCCGGGTACCGCCGGGGGGGCCCCGGCCGCGGGCTCTCCTCCCGTCCCCTCGAAAACCGGGCCGGCGGGGCTGGGCGAGAGGTGCCGCCGCGGCAGCATCTCCAAAGAATGTCACCGGCGGGGCCACCGGTACCGGCGGAGCCACGGTCTCGCCTGGCGGAGGGATGGAGCCCCGGCGGGGATGCCCCGCTCCGCGCATCGCGGTGCTGCCCGGGCTCGCTCCCGGCCGGCCGGGCTCTTCCAGCCTCCCTCCTTCTTTGTGCGCTCACGGCTGCCGAGCGGGAGCGCCGGGGCACCGCTCCCCCGGCAGCACCGCCGGGTGGGGAGGGGGCGAGGTTGGTGGTGGGTACGGGGTCGAGGTGCCTGTTGGGGTTCAGGGGGCTTGGACATAGGAAAGCCACCCCGGGGAGGGAGGCGATGCTCCCACCACCCAGGAGTGCAAGTGAGTGCAGGGGAGGAGGAGAAGGAGGGTTATGGCCGAGGAAGGTGAGGAAGGTGGCACTGGGGGCAGGAGAGGCTGGGGAGGAAGGACTGCGGGAATGTGGCAGGTGGTCCCAGTAGGAGACACCCTGGGCTGAGCTGGTGCCTTTGGGAGTGGGCAGGACAGGGGCCAAGGTCGGGGGCTGCCCTGCACCTTCCTTCATCCTCTCCTTCCAAGCCGTGTCTGCCGAGTTGCTCTCTCCACCATCACCTGGACAAGCAGAGTGAGGAGAGCTGGCAGCACCAAAGGCTGAGCCGTGGGCTGGTTGCATGGCTTCTTGCTGGGGGGAGTGGAAGGGCCCCCAGTTCCTCTGCCCACCAGGAGGAGAAAACCAGTGGCTGTAGCTCCATGGGTGTCCTCATGGCAGCTCATTTCCCCAGGCAGAGGGACTTTTCAGGGTGCTTTCACAGGTCACTTCTGGCTTGCACCTTCTCCTGTGGAACAGAGAAGCTGGTGCTTCCTCTTCTCTTTCCATTTTAATTTGAGGTCTGGGTTTTTTTGGACCTCTTTGACCAGAGGAAGCTGATGCTCTGAATGTCATCGAGTAAATCCCTTGACACCTGAGCGATGGTGTGTTCAGCAGAAGTGCAGGGTGGTGGAAGATAGCCAGAGCTGCTTCCTGTGCACTGCCTCTGTGGGTGCAACTGCTCTGTGCTGCCACACAGCTCATCCCTGCTCTGTCTCCCCCTCACCCCGAGGTGCTCTGCCACACATCTCATGGCTTTGGTGGTTTGCAGAAGTGCTCCTGGTTGTCTGCTATGCCACCATGGTTGCTGTGCCCCAGTCACCATCCTTTGGGGGACTGCACTGGAGAGGTGGGTGGGAGGAACATGATGGTGGGATCAGCAGGGCCAGAATTTCTCAGGGGAGATTTCAGTTCAAGCATGGGAGAGATGCATCCTGTGCATCCCAGGGTGCTGCCTGGGCTCCCCCAGGTGAGCAGGAGCCGTGACTTTCTGTGTGATGTGGGTTAGCACCTGCTCTCCCCCATCTCGGCGCTGGGCAGGGCTCAGTGCTGGCAGTGCAGGGTCACAGTGGTAAGGCTGACAGGCTGCTCCATTCTGGAATGTCTTTCATGTCATGTTTCCCCTGCTCCAGCCCTGCATCACTGCAAGGAAACATCATGCCTAGTTGATCCTTTGCTTCATGCACCTTCTCCCAGGCAGAGGCCAACCTGTGTGTCTTATGACCTGTCCTGCTAGCAGTGCCTGTGCTGAGCAGTGCTCTGCCTGGCTCCAGGAGTGTTCCCTCTGGGAGCACCGAGCCAGGAGAGGGGATCTCTTGTAGAGCCCAGGCTTGGCTGGGGTGGGCTGCTGCAGCAGGGGCTGCTCTGGGGAGATCCAAGCAGAGTGTGTTCCCTGCAGGTAGTGAAGATGTCCGGCAGCGACCCCGAGTGCCCCCAGTTCCTCTTCGTGAAGGTGCTGGCGAGCCGGGGGCGGCTGGAGGCGGTGACCCAGCAGATGGGCTACCACCCACAGTACCTGGACAGCTTCCTCAAGATGCAGCACTACCTGATGCACATGGATGGCCCCCTGCCCTTTGACTGCCGGCACTACATCGCCATCATGGTGAGCCCCGCTGGGAGCTGCTGGAGGGGACCGGGGCTCTGCTCAGCCCTGGGGGCTCCCCTGTCCTTCCAGCAGACAGCCTGTGTCACAGGCTTCTCATCAGAGGCCAAAATCGTGGTGTCCTGGAGGTTGGGTGAGCGGTGGGCGCGGGGTCCCGGGGTGCCTGCGTGGTGCAGGGACGCTGATGTGCTGCCCTTGCAGGCGGCTGCCCGGCACCAGTGCCGGTACCTGGTGAACCTGCACGTGCTGCAGTTCCTGCGGGCAGGGGGTGACCCCCAGTGGCTGCGTGGCCTCGAATTCATCCCCCCCAAACTCCGCAACCTCAACGAGATCAACAAGATCCTGGCACACCGGCCCTGGCTCATCACCAAGGAGCACATTGAGGTACTGGGGGAGGGCTGTCAGCCAGGGACCGGGGCAGCAGTGGGGTCAGCAGTGTCCCCAGAGGCTGCCAGCACCCTGCCCACCTGCCTGTGTCACAGTGCTGGTGTGTCTGTGTTCTGCAG